ATGTTGCAAATTTACACAATGAAATCGATTATATTGCTATTATAATCGAGTACTTCCCTAAAAACACAATCCATTAAAACCATTATAATGATTCAAAAATCACAATCGAGATGTCTTCATTCGTCCGCCAGCAGAAACAGAAAAACCGAACACGCAAGTTCACAGTGTCGGCATATGGGGTTTAGGAACTTAGACGACAGCAAATTAGACGATCAGAAATAACGGGATTTAGACAACAACTTGCGTGCAAATTGCGTAATTTTTGTTTACAGACTTAAATTAACTTTTGGCTAAGTAAATACTGGTTGCCCGTAAATTCCGTTTATTTACTGTCGTCTAATTTGCTTGTCGTCTATTTTCCTAGGCCCCTCGGCATATGGATTGAGCGATGCTGCCAATCTGTGCGATAAGACTAAAAAACCGAAAGTCTTCATAATCAGCGTTTGTTTTTTTTTCTATGATTGTCGACACGATTGATTAATCACGTGGCAATCAGGTCATGGTTATCAGCAGTAGCAGGATCATAAGTTGAAAAAATTAAATCTCTGACCACTCTGGTACCACGTGACTTGACCAACGACTCAAATACGCTATAAACCTAAACACGCGCAACACTTTAAGAAAAGCCAAGGCCCTATTAATGTAGTGCAACTATAGAAACGAAAACTGATCCAAAAAATAAAGTTATCAAAACTGGAATTAACACTCTAACTAGAATTTCAAAGTGATGCAATATATTGTGGGCGCTCTACGGTAAGACAAATAGAAATTTTTCACGGTAAATTCCAAAACTGTCGGGCACTTTCACAACATAACCTATGATGTGCTGCAACAGTATCTGAGCTGCAAAGTTTATAAGTGAAAAGATTTTTTGGGAAAAAGTGTTTTCTGTTTCGGTTTAAACTTCTTTGTAGAGAGTTACACGTCAATAACGGATAATCGATCTTTAGGGTTGAAGGGGATACGTTTATTACAGAAAATAATGGGATGGTTGCTAGGGGGCAAAAGGGCAAGCGTTAGGGGTAAGGGATTGTTTTGCATTTTGAGAATATATAATTTTAGAAATGGAGTATGCCGTGCACAGGCTTTGAAAAACTTCTGCATTACTTTTTTGAAATTCTTGTTAAGTTTGCATTCGCAAAACAAATAAAAATGGAAAAAATCCATTTTAATGTGATTTCTACTTATTATATAATCCATTATAAAAGTTTCAAATGAATTGTAATGTATTATGTTTTTGAGAGGTAAAATGGATTCAAATTCATCATTAGTCCAATTTTGTTGTCGGAGTTTAACATGGATCTCGAATATATTGACAATACTTTAGACCACGGAGATCTATTATAATAGTTTTTATTCCTTTTTTCTTAAGTGCGGGACATAAATTTATCTTGCATTTGCACAACTTGGGCTGTGAATGTTTTTAGCTAAAATTTGGTTAAAGATTTACTATTGTACCTCTGATTTTTATTTATCTTAACGAGGGAAAAAATGTTTGAATAGATATCCCGCAGTGAGGTTCCATGGACAATAATCGATAATAATCGATTTTCGTGGTCAAAATTGTTGCCAATATAATCAATTGTATTTCACTTTGGGACCACACAATCGATTAAAATATATTATAATTCACTTTGTTCAATAAATTAAATCGATTATATTACATTTAAAATCGATTTGATGGATTATATTGGTTCAATGGTTTGTAGTCTTTCAATAAATGTTGAACAATTAGCAGTTTTTTCTGCATTACACACAACATTCACTTATGATGGATTAAAGTGATTTCCGTTCTGTTTGTTTTATTATTGATTAGTAATCCATTATGATCAATTATTTTAGAATTTCTTTCATGGAACTTTACTGCAGGATATTATCTAACTGCTGGTGTGTGATATGTGTCTCTCTTATCGTGTTTTTCAAATTCTTTCACAGCTGTACTTAGATTTGCTAATTTCTCAATTTGTTTTGAAACTAAAATTAAATCGTCAAATTTTTCAAAAAATCTCAACTCCAGAATTGAGTTACGAACTGATGGTTTTTAGTTATTTCTTCGTCGCAATTCCTCATTTGAAAGCTCATCAAAATCTATCTATACATTTTAATATTTTCTAAAACTTGTTTAATTTTCAAGTAAAATCTTCAAGTAAACGCTTCAAGGTTGTTTGCCATTTATTTGTTTCCAAGTTTTTTTTGAGTTTTCTTAAGGATATGTACCGATCTTCAAGATTATTGGCACGATTTTGTTAAGTTTTAAAAAACATTTTTTCAAGATTTTCAAAGATTCAGAATTTTTAAAAATTTGCAAATATTGGTCGATTTGAGCTGAATTGAAACAGAACGCTCGTGTATCGAGATTAAACTAACAGAATCAAATTTTATCTACTCTTTCAAAATTTAATCAAGGAAACAGTTTAATATTTCCCTATGGAAAAACCAAACTGATGTATTTTGGGTCTAATAATACAATAATTCAAAATTTGGCTGGGAAAGTTAGGGTAAATTGGTTTAAATTCTGTGCGAAATCAAGTCTCCGCTTTTGTGCTCATAATTGTTGTTTTTATTTTCCAAGAAACAACAAAGTGTTGGGCTAGGTTGTGTTTGACGGTGCTTTTGCAGCCTCTTATAGGTATTGATGTCTTGAGCTCAAAATAAAAAAAAATTATATGTGTGAATTTTTGCGAAGATGTAGGGGTTTGAAAATTGTCAATTTGGCCAACTTAGGATAACTAATAGATTCTATAATTCCCAAATTATGCAATTTATTCAAATTATGCAAATAAAATAGCCGATCAGAAAATTGAACAATAAATCTATTAACATGGCTGAATCATTTTAATAAGAGACCTTTCATTAGGTCATCTTGTCCCGTTTTGCAACAAAAAATGCAAATTTGGTTAAATGATCTATGTAAAATTTTTAAACATCCTCCGTTGGGTACGGTTATGCTTTAAACCACAACCCATGAACGGTGAGACAAGGTTTTATTTTCTTAGCAATTGAGTAGTAAACTTTTTTCTATTTAAAATTATTATTTTTTTGATTTTCATTACGAGGTAGTTTAGAAATAAACATTATCTGGAGAAAAAACAGAAGTCAGTTCACTGCTCAACAAGACAAACATGCTTTGAGTATACGCAACAGCCATTGCAATGCACTACAACGCAAAATAACACCCGTTAGAATAAGTTATATTGCTAAAACTATTCGAAAGTTTCAAGTCATGTGGTCTAGTAGTTAGCACAACAGTCTACACAATGGCACATCGATGGTTTGAGACCCAACAAAAGAGTTTGTTCTAGCTGTAAGAAGCCTAGATTCAGCTAATTTTTAATCAGAAACATGATGACAAATGAAAAACTTTAAGAAAATTTCTGCTTTATTTCAACATTTCATGAAGAATTTCTGACCCGAAGTTTAGATTAGATATAAAGTGTTTCAGGTCAGAAATAAAGATTTTTTTCGGTACGGGTAAGACGAGTTAGTCATGAAATTACCTAGAACACCATTTTTGATCACTTTTCTGATCCCGCTTTGATGGTAAGGTAACTAAAGCAAGTTTTTCAAGCAATTACTATTGACAATAAAATCGGATCTTTCTACAGTCACAGGACAAGGAAGTTTTAAAATGAACGAACTTTTTCTTACGCTTCGTTCGTTTTCTCTGCAAATATTTATGATACAGGTTTCAAAATTTGCCAAAAAACTGATGTAATTATTTGAAAGGGCCTAACTAGGCCAAACTTTGAAAAATCTTGTTTTGAAGGCTTAAATTAACCATCATCCCAACTAGTTTTAGAGGTGCTCTTGCTGACAAACAATAAAACAAAATGTAAATTTAAGGGCTCAAATGAGTTCTTTAGTAAGCTGACGAGCTTGAATTACTCATTATATTAGTTAAAATTGACAAATAACAAATTTAACAAAGTTACTTGGTCCTGAAACTCTGTCCTGAAACACTGGAGCTAGTTATGATATGCTGGCTAATATACGCCTTCAAAACAAGATATCTCAACTTTTGGCCCGGTTAAGCCCTTTCAAATTATTTCATATACTTTTTGTAAAAATTTGAACCCTGTATCTTAAATAGTTCCAGAGAAAACGAACAAAACGTGAAAAAAGTTCGTTCATTTTCTCGATGAAGTCAAAAAGTTGCCAGTTCTATGTCCGGTGACTGTAATTAAACATTTCAATATATCTTAGCTTTACGACTCCCAGACCTGCCTTTTTAAACATAATTTCCCATTTTAGACTTGGTTACTGTTTCAATCAATAACGTATGGCTCTTTTTGAAGTCATCAATCATTTTCATGTGACGTTTTCAGGTGTCGCTTAACTTCTGAATTTGAAGCGATTTCAAGGCTCAAGATTCAAAAGTGACTGAAAAGGCTTGAAATTTATCTCAAGGGCCATTTTGTAGTTATTAGGGGCATAATTCAATTGCATCGATTTTATCAAAATTGACAAAAAAAGGTTTCAAAATGTTGAATTGGTGCTGAAAGTATATCTTTGATATCAAAAAACCGGCTCCTTTCCACTCCCCCCCCCCAACATTTGAGTTTCCAGTTTGAAAAACTGTTTGAATGGTGTCATAAAGTAATAAAATTCAGCATGGTGAACAAACTAACTATTTTAAACCTTTTCATGCTTAAGTTTGTATCATCACGCATTTAGTCATAATGACACGTAGGACAATTAAGAAAACTAAAAATTTGAAATGTGGGAGGGAAAGTTGGAAAGAGCTTAGAAACTTTCAGCGCGATAACCATCGGGCGTTTTTATAAACAGTTCGTAAAGTCTGTAACACGGTAGCGGCAAGCTCGCAACCCGAATCAGCCCGATTGTGGGTATTGCCTACCGAATTAATCGAAAAATAAACTGATGAATTGTTTTGAAAACGGGACAAAACATGCTGGTATATCAAAATAAATTGGTCTATTATCTTACCAAATCTGTCTATTTTCAGTATGTTGCGTTGGTTTGATCACAAGCACAAGAAAGAGTTTCTAGCATGATGAAATCGATTTAACCCATTTCATGTTCGTCGTTATAATTTTAGAACCGCGTGAAATTATCGATTTTTTTCTTGAGATTCAGTATTCAGAGATGCGTATCTCGATCAGCTAATTGAAAAAATATTGAATTCAAGAGACAAATATTGTAACCACTTAAAACATAAAAGACACCGCAAAAAATAAGAATTACATTTAAAATGCACCACGGACAGATTGTCTCAATCAATCAATTTTTTAGTTCATTGAACTTCCTTAATGTCTCGACGCAAAATGATTCGGCGAATGCGAATCAATCATAACGCCAGAGTCTTCGTTTTCCTTTTTGCATGTCGTATTCTGAAGACGCAGCTCGTCATTTTTTACACTAGCCGACGTCTCCGAGTTGTCGGATCCGTCATTCTTACAGCTTCTCGGAGAAATCAAATCTCCCAGTTTGATCGAGGGTTCAGTTACAAATGAATTGTTTCGTTTCTCGGCCTCTCGTTTCCGGGTCGTACGTCGATGTCGCCGGCCACGGTGTTCGTATTTTGCTCGGTAGTAGCTGAAAACCGAGTCGTCCGAAGACATGACTTGGATCCGAGCCATCGCTCGAGTATTCATCGGTGTGTTGACTACCGCAAATGCGTCAGCTCGGCTCTCGTTGTCTCCAGCGACTCGTCCTCGACACAGTACGTTATAAATTTCGTCCGAAGTCGTGAGTCTTGATGGCGAGTAGTTAATCATGTTTTTTCGTCTTTGTCGTCGCGCTTGTTTATTATACTGATGGTGAAAATAATTATGATAACTGTACTCAACTTTGGCGTGGTTACTGCTGCTAGTTAAATAACTAGGGCTTCTTGCGTAATTTCCCACCCAGTTTTTTGGTCTTTTTACTCGTCGAGAATCTTTGTTGTCGAAATCTTTAGCCCAGTGGGGGGTATTAATCGGGCATTTTACAATACTTCCCGAACCGAGCGTCATGTCTTCGGGTAAGTATGCGACAAACTTAGTAGAACAGCCGCTATTATAACTACTACTAACTAACGTTTCTGGTTTACCCGAATATGATGAACGATTCAAAGAACTCGGTCGCAAAAATTTTGAACCTTCTTTGGTTGTTCTTGTGTCTGAAGTACAGCATTTATTTGCGTCAGCAATTTTCGTCCGACGAAATTGTCGGACGATTGAGCAAAGTTCTTTGTTGCCGCAATTTTCAGAACAGCGAGATTTAAATTGGCACTGCTGAAAACCTTGAGAAAACTTCGAGGGCGTTATTTGAACAGGTGAATTGTCACTTGCTTGGATATTTGAACCATCTTCTGGCGGAAACTGGGCATTGAAAGAGACCAAATTTTGATTTTTCTTGGTATAAATACTGCTCGAGTTATGCTTGTACCTCGAAATAAGTTTGCTGAAAGTTTGGACACAATTTTTAGGAGAATCACTTTCGCTATTCAAGTCTAAATTAGTTGTTGGATTAGTGTAGTTTGTTACAAAATTGAACGGTGAATTTTCAGTTGATCCACTTTTGCTCATACTTTGAACTGGTTTTTGAGGTGGCTTTGAAGGACTTTTTGAAGGACTTTCGCGAGGCGGGTCTGATGGTGTGAAAAATTTCTTTTCGTTTTCACTATCGTGGTTGAAAAAAAGTTGGTTGTTTTCTTTCGTAACTCCAGCATGTTGGTTCACAAACGAGAGTGGTCGATTGTTGTTGTTGTGACAAGAGCTAAACGCAAAAGAGATATTACTAGAACAATGGTCAAAAGATTAACGTCTAACCCGAACAGGAGGAAGGTAGCGGTTCGAGTCCCGCAATTACCAGCGGGAGGTGACTCAATTCTTAGTGACTCAAGTGACTCAATTTTCAGCATAGAAAATAGTAAAGAAAGTTCATATATGTTTTTAGGTCGAATAAATTAACTTTCCAGCTTTCTCAAAACACTATAAAGACCCTATTTTGCCGAATTATTCTGCGCTGCAGGCGATTTTTTGAACAAAAAAGTAGGCCAAACGTGCCGTTTTGGGGCACTTAATGAGCTGTTTTGGCCAAAAAATTGCGTTTGTTCGGCGCGCGATTCTCAAACGTGGTATGTATTGAAGCCGAATGAATTTTTAGAAATTTTAAAACGTCAACCATCAAAAATGCATGTGTTAAAATAGTAGGGGCGTTCTATGGTTCGAATCTCTGAGAGGAACATCCCCCTTCCTTACCTAGTGCATTCTTGAAAAGCATTAAAAAATTCTGTGCCATTGACATTTTAATTCAAACAATTCCTCTTAATTAAAAAAAGATTTGTGTCAAAAACACGGAAGTTTTAACAATTACGGGGCTTGAGGAATTCTTAGGGCTTTGTGAATGGTAAAAATTAGGCTTAGTGTTTACCATCAAAAAGACGACCTATTTGATTGAAAACCCCTCATTGTTGGATAAACACCGAATGTTTGAGTGATGCCATCATCCTTCAAAAAGTCAGAGGCATTGTTTATACTGGAGTCACAATTTCCATTAAAGGGAAGTCTTTTTGTTTACAAATGCCCTTTTCATTAGCTAGGGGGATAAAAAGGGCGGAAATCGATTATATGGCAGCATCAAAAAACTAATTTATTGATCAAAACATCAAAACATCGCCAACAGACACTTGGAAAAGAGTCAGTGAACGCAAGTAACCACCAAAAAAAATTTCGAATTTCCACAGAAAAAAATGGATGGCCTGAAAGTTCTTGGATTTTCTAGAACAATTTAAAATTGATGAGACTTTTAAAATAAAATTAACCCAAGTTGAAAAAAGTGGATCAATCAGTAGATATAGTTTTTATTTTGCTCGAAAATCTTATAAAAAATCCTTTTTTGAAGCTAGAAGTCGATCGCGTTTTTCTGGACTTTTACACTTTTTCTGTTCGAAAGTGGCGTTTGCCTTCCTTTTAACAAAGTAAAAGAAGCAATCTAAAAAAAATCAAAACTCAAAACGCGAAAAAGTACATTTGAATGACAAAACCAAAAAAAAAAATCATCGCAATCTATATACGAGCCTATAGATTCAACGCGTCTTAGCCAAGCTTATTAAGAAAAAAGAAAAATTCTTAGCCAAAACTGAAAATTCCAGCGTTGATTACTGAACAAAACAAAAACGGTTTCAAACAAAGATTTTAAATTTTTTTCTGGAGTTTACTGCGTATTAAAAAATCAATTTTGATCCTTGATATATTTCTAACGACAAAATTGCAATAGTAAGTTTTTATGTAAGGTTGATACTAGGCCAATTGGGTGTTCATGATAAAATAGGGTTTTCATACTTTTCATACAGTTTTGATCATACAATCTATGAAAAAATACGTATCATAAAACTTTCATACACTTTTTTATATACTTCGAACTAACTATTTTTTCATTCCATAGAGTTGTATGATATGTTTTTCGCTCAATTTCTGTATTTTTAAAGAAAATTTGAGTGTCACAGAACCGAATACTTTGATATTCTAAAGGTATTTTACCAAAGTTTAAATATTGGCTGCGGTTAATTTGTGACGTGCTTTATTTATCATATCTAGTTTTCCGGCAAAAAAATTCAAGTTATAATTTTTGGATCGTGCCATAATTTCTATTATCAATCTCGCAAAACGTTAAGCGAGCTGCGTTGGACACTATTTTGCTTCTTAAGATCACTATTTTAACAATTGTTCATAATCTGCACCAAGTTACTCGCAGTTGTTTTTAAAACTTATAAAATTGAACGGAATCTTTTGAGAAGTTGCCTATGCAGTGCTTTAGCAAATGCTATTCACTTTTTCAGTAAACAGAGTTAAAATACAAGTTAAACAAGACTGCTCGTATATCAGTGCAAAGCCCTGAATGTTCCGACTGTCTCTTAAGTCATATCGAATGATTTTTGGTAAAATAAAAAAATAAAATCTATAAATTTTGGACAAAGTTTGAAATGTTGAGTCGTACGAAGTTAAGACTACCAATCCAATTAGCTAGCCTCAATTCAGTTTAGAACGATTTTTTTGTGCGGGATAATTCGCAACGCATAAATAATTCGCGTTACAATCTCAGCATTATGCAGTTTGGCAATTTTCAAACCTTCAGAACTTTACAAAAAATAGTCGGAGATGAAAATTTTTTTTCGACATTTGAACTTAGGAAGTCGATACCTCCAATGAATAATAAAAAAGTTATGCTGAAATTTATTATTTAGATCGGTGAAAATTGACTGAATCAAAAAACCACATAGATCATAATTATTCCGTTTTTTTTTTCGAAAGTCGGAACAAAAATTTGAATAGATGCAACTCCAGAGCAATTCACTGAAAACAAATTCAGATATGTCGCGATCTTCCCAGAACCAAAACAGGAACTTTCTGAGAAAACCTCTCACTGTTTTTTGGCGCGATGACCACTAAAATTTTCATTGCGTTTTGTCAACTTTGTTGTAGGTTTTCTGCTAAAAGCATTCGGTGACAATTCGTTTTTATGGTTTTCTATGATCTTTTTGGTTGAAAGTTTTCCATCATTTTGCCAAAATTACAAAAAACTAAATTGATTTTAAAAAAGTTTATTAGCCTTTTCCATTCATCAACCATTGTAGAAAAAATTGCATTGAAGAAAATCTCGAAAAAGTGTTTAATTGGGATGGCTTTTGTTCATAATTAAAAATGCAAGGGCCTGATTGTCTGGTATGAATGAATGCAACCAAAAACAAGCAAACCCAATTTTATTTTAACCAAACGCTGAACTGATTGTTACATGAAATAATCGTTTTTCCCATTTTTGTTCTTTAATTTCGAACTTTTAAAAAATATATCTGAAATTTCATCTCAGGGAAAATTTTATCTTCGAAAACCTTCCAAAGGCACCACTACAACTGGTTTGACCAAGTTTCGATGTTCTATCAAAAAAAAAGTAGACGGAGATTTCCTAAATTCTGAAAAATTGTTATGCCGTGAGTTTAAAATTCAAAATGGTTTTCATAATCATAATAAAGTGTTTTCATATCAGAGATTATTCCACAGACATTTGTGATTTTACATAATTCTGATATGCAAGGACATCAAAAGGCCCAATATGTTTAGTCATGTGATGCCCTTACTAAGCAGTACACTTTGTGAAGAAGTACTAAGAAGTACCACGAAGTTTCTACTGTAAACAATTATCAGTTGTCCAAACCCTACAACACCTTCTTTTAGAAATAAAGATCTATCGTTTCTTTTTTAATTGTGATGTAAAAATTGCGAAATTATGAAAAAATTGTCGTATTGACTATTATTAAGATTGCTGACTGTATCAGCAAAATCTTCAAAAAAAAAATTTGGAAAAAAATTGTATAGTTTTCTTATCCTTACACCTATTATTTTTGGATTTTTACCAGTGAAATTATTCGTTGGTTTGGTTTTTCTAACACTTTTATGTTTCAATATCTCAATCTCCGAGTCCAAAATTGAGTTTTTTAGGAATTCAGATTTTAAGTCCTTCCGTAAAAGCTTAACTAAAGTTTTGAAAATCTCGTATATGTGAAATTACTTCAATGAGCATATCTTGGTTTAATTTCATTTCAAGTTTTTGCAGAGATCTTTTATTAGCTGAGCTGTAGTACACTATAAGCCCGTATTGCCGTACTGGCTGAATATGACTGAAATAGGTTTTAATTAGTTGTGCTGTCCTTAGTACGTCACGTAATCTGTAGAGCAACCCACAAAAATTATTCGTTTTTTTTTGACGAGAAAGTTAATATGAAAATTGAAATCTTATTTTGAGTCTATGTGATTGCCCAAATATATAGTATAGAGGACTTTTGAACGGTTATTTATCATCGGTTCTTACTTTTAAATTGTCTATTCCAATGATTATTTCCCTTGAGTTACCTTATGCGCAGTTTGTTCTTTCTTTTGACTTTTAAGCTGGGATTTAACGCGGATCTGATGTTTTCGTCAAACTGAACTGAGCTATTTCTTGTATCTTATTATGTATTTGTTAGTCGTTAAAATCATAATTTTGTATTGAATACAGCGTGTAAGGAATATTTTTTAAAATCACGACAAAAAATGGCAAAAAATTAAAAGTTGTTCCTTTTTTACTTTTGTTTGCAATTTTTACTATCCAAAATCATTTCGCAGAGGTCAATTTCATTGGAAAAAAGCAATGTTTCTTGCTGATACAATCAGTTTTGTTTCTTTCAAGCTGTTCTGCCACATTTTGTTTTCTTTGGTTTTTATTCAAATGAGATCTTGTGATACAAAACGTACTTTAGCTTATATGAACAATCTCCCCCCATAAATAGACCAAGTGAACAGCCTGTCCCATGAAACAAAACAAAAAATTGAAGCAGTAAGCCTGCAGGTACTATGCTCAAACCTGGTTGGCTAAAATTAAGAATTTGATTTAAGGGAGCGATTGTTCACATGCTATCGAACTTTTTCGTTAACAGTTTTCTAGAAACGGGATGCAAATCCTCCTACCGCCTGTTTCCAGGGATGTTAACGAGTTTTAAATCTACTTTTTCTTGTAGAATCGAGAGTGCAGTGCCTTGACCTTCTAAATTAAAAAAGAAACTATTTTATCTATTTCACTTGGCTAAAAAGGGGCTCAATAAAGTTATCTTTTGAAGCAAATCAAACAGCCTGTGAAGTTTATTCAGGTCACTTTTTTGATCGAAACTGGATCAATTTCTGTTTTTGCAATTTTTCTGACATTTATACAACCGGTAGTATGCAAATGGCATTCATTCAGAA